GTTTATGAGAAGTTAAGTTACTTGCCCAGGGTCACACCACCAGTACACATCAGAGGCAGGACTTTAGTTCAGGTCTGCTTGACTCTGAGGCCAATTCTCCATTCATTCTGCCACCCTGCCTTTACAGATAGTCGGGATAACCCTAAACTTTCCTTAAAATCAGAGTTGGGGAAAGATAACACAGTCAGGAGGACTAGAAATTTAGTATTTTTTCTGGTACCTGGATTCTTGGGCATCATTGTCAATTTAAGAACACAAGGAAGATTTCGGAACGTGACCGATTCCCTTCCTTTCCCAAAAGCATAAGACCTAAGAGGCAAAGAGCATGACAACCCAGAGATGCAGAAAGAGGATTTCAAGGAGAGTCAGCCTTCTGACCACCACATGTCTGTCCTCTCCCTCTTTCTCTCCCCTTCTCTCTCCTTCTTCCTATCACCTTAGCTCACTCTGATTTATGAATCTCTTCCTCTGTTTCTGTGTCACCAAACCCCAGAACCTCATGGATCACTGCCTTTTCCTTCTCTGCCTCTCATTCCTCTTCCTGACTCTCAATTTTTCAAATCCTGTACAACAACCTCCTCTCCTATGTGGATCATAAAAAACACAAAATCTTAAAAAAAAATACAAAATAAGCTAATCTGTAAATATGTATGGAAAATATCTCTTTCTTGATTTCTTTCATATTTAAGAATACCACCTCTCTATAGACTTACTCTTTACATATGTGTATGTATGTGTCCATGTCTATTATTTTTATACTATCTAGACCCTATGATGACAAGGTGGGAGCATCCCCCAAAAAGACAATAAATATTATTCAATAATTATACTTAGAATATGTTTTATGTTGAGGGGTTACAGAGTACATTATAACAGAGTCATAAAATAACCAACTTCTCCCCATTTCCGACAGTCAGAGGATGGTTTCTAGATGACTACTTGGCAGGAAACATAGTCTGTTTCCTTTCTGTGATAGTAAGACATCTCCCACTCTCTCAAGTTAAGTCACGTTTATATCCCTGCCTCTAACAGTTCAATTTCTGACTGAAGTGAAATACACAGATGTTGGGTTTTCAGTGTCAAGTACTGGGCAATGAAGAGGTTAAAGTGATCACCTCAGATATGTGTGTGTGTGTGTGTGTGTGTGTGTGTGTGTAGGAGAGACAGAGACAGAAAATATTTAAAGCTTGCTCAGCTCAATGAGGTTTTGATCACATGGTTTTTGAAACGTCTTTGTTTATTAATCTTTTTCCTTTATACCATGCTATCTTCCCAAATAAGTACCCTACACATGCACATAAATACACACACATGCATACAGAGAAGCGCTCGCGCGCGTGCACACACAAACACGTATGCATTGTGTATGTAGAGAAAGCAGTTCCAACATGGTTAATATGGTGAAAAGTTGACTAGGAATCAGAAAGATCTAAAGCTAAGTCATGGCACAATGTAACATTTCTCATCTGTGTGAATTTGGGTCTTTTAACATCTCTAAGACTCAGTTCCCCCATCTGTAAAAGGAAATCCCAGCCCTCTATTTCAGAGGGACGTTGTAAGGATCAAGAGAGATATTTTGTGACAAATACTTTGCAAACACTTAAAGGCTACATATGTAATAAAGAACGAGTGTTGCTACAGTGTAAGCAATCATCCATTCGCCCTGGTTATTGAGTTGTATGAAAATCACTTTCTCCTTTCCTAGAGGTTTGCTAGCCCACTAGGGTGTAAATATATAAATTTTAGATCCTCCATATTAAGTCCATGTTTGGCCCATCAGGAGAATGTGTTAGATGTGGAAATATGGGGAAAGGGACTGGTTCTGTGATTTCACTGGAAATCCCAGAAAAAGATTTTCCCAGGAAAAGAATTTCCTCTAACAATGCAAGGGGCCCCCTTCTCTTCAATTCAGGAGGTTATGACTTGCCCGGATCACACACATGGATAGAACATGTCAGGGATAGGACTTCAAACTAACTCTTCCTGATTGAAAGGTTAGTTTTCTGATGAAAACATTTCTGCAAGTGCAAATGCCTAAGAAAGATACCAGATTCTGGATGTGCAGTGAAAAAACTGACTTTGGATCAAAGGACTCAAACTCAGATGTCCATAGTGGGCAGGACTGTCACTGCCCTACCTTTGGGAAACTTCAAACCAGGGGGCGAATCTAGCAGCCTGAGCAACTTCCAGGAACTTCTCAAGCCCTGTTTCCTTGGTTCATCCCTTGCTAAAAAGAACAACATTTTCAGAATGAGGATCCACTGGAAAATACAGTGTATACAGTGTATATAATGTCTAAAAACAAAAGATCAACCAAATTGTGTTTTTAAAATCCCTGGAATACTATCCCTCCTAATCTTCCCATCTTAAATTCTCTGGCTTCTTTGAAGAATCATTTCAAGTACCACCTCTTCCTTCTTTTTTAAAATTTTATTTATTTTGTTTTTAATTTATGGGATAAAACAAGCATTTCCATAACATAGTATAATTAAAAAAAAAAAGACTGCACATGAAACTGCAAATCTATTGTGTACAACTTGCTATTCTACTTAAATATATAATAATGTTATCATGGAAATTTCTTTTTTCCCCCTTTTTTCTCCCCCACCCCCACTCCTGAGATGGCTACCATTAAACACAAATATGTGCATTTATGTAAAATCATTCCATACATACTTATATTTATCAGTTCTTTCTCTGGATGCAGAGAGCATATAAAATACCTGGGAATGAACCTGCCAAAACAATCCTAGGAACTATATAAACAAAATTATAAAAAAAAACTTTTATGCTAATAAAATCAGATTTAAATAATTGGAGAAATATTAATTGTTCATGGATAGGCAGGGCCAATATAATAAAAATGACAATTTTATCTAAACTAATTAAGTACTTAGAAAATGCTTAGAAACGCCATCCCAACTAAACTGCCAAAAAATATTTTACTGAATTAGAGAAAATAATAAAACTCCTTTGGAAGAACAAAAAGTCAAGAATATCAAAGGAACTAACAAAAAAAAATGCAAAGAAAGGAGGTTTAGCAGTACCAGATCTTAAACTATATTATAAAGTGCCACCTCTTTCTTACAGAAAGCTTTTCCCAGTAGCCCCTACCCTCTACTCACTCCCAGCGGCTAGTGCCTTTCTCTCTAAGATTCCTGTGTATTGACTCAGTATCCATCCTAGATGTACTGATTTATGTTTGTATTATATTTATATTCCCATTAAAATATAAGCTCTGTGAGGGTAGGTTTGTTTTTGCTTTCTATTTATACTCCTGGTGCTTAGCACAGTGCCTGGCACACAGTAAGCTTGTTGATTTAAAACAACAACATTAAAATTCCTAAGGAAAGTGACATATCCAGTCTCTCCTATCCACATCTACCCTGTAGCTAAATAGTCCTTTCATCATTATTTCACCTTCAGTAACAAAAAGATCCCTGCTTTACACGTTGGTCCCCCATGAAACAAGGTGTCCAAATGGAAAGCTGAGGGGAAGAGACCCTACGTGAGTACCCGAGAACCTGTCCAAGGTTCACTCAGCTTATCAATGTCCCTTCTCAAAGGTACCAGCCAGACTTAGACACAATACTCCGGATGGGGGCTCACCAGGGCGGGATACAGAAGGACTGTCACGTCCCTCACCAGGCAGAACACATTAGCCTTTCCTGGCTGCCATAGCACATATCCAACTCCCACTGGGCTTGCACTTCACTCAAATGCCTTCGTCTTTTCTGAAAGGAACCCTACCTGACTCTCTTTCACCTGTACTCTCATTCAGATTAATGCCTGCCATGGGTGGCATGAGAGGTAATCAGAAGATAGAACTATTCTTTTAATTAAGAAAAGAGGCCTATTTTTGAAAAGAGTGAAGATGTCTGCCAGGCTTCATTTTCTTTCTATAATATGCAATATTTTTTTAAAACATAAGAGACTTTCTAAGTGCTTAATACACAATTTTAAAAATGGAATACTTTCAAAGTACATTGATGGTGTACCTCATTAAAACATCTTTTAATATATTCACAAATAATAAAATTACAATAAGCCACTATGTTTTAAATAAATGTTTTCTTTTTTTTGCCAGAGCATAAGCCACAGAAATTCACTGTTCAGAATAGATTTGATTTTGATTGCATTTTGTACAAAATTTCAAAAGGTTAAGCTATATAGCATACCACTACCACCACTACTAATGATAATAATAGCTAACATTTATATGTAGTGCTTTACTGTGTGCCATGCACTTTACAATTAACATCTCATTTGGTCCTTACAACAACCCTGGGAGGTAGATGCTATTATCATCTCCATTTTACAGATGAGGAAACTGAGGCAAACAGAGGTCAAGTCCTTTGCCCAGGGGTCACCTATTAGTAAATGTGTCTTAGGCCATATTTGAACTCAGGTCTTCCTGACTCCGGGTCCAGTGCCCTAGCCACTGTACCAACCTAGGTGCTCCTCCATGAGGTATATGGAAGACAGAGCAGTTTTCCAAAGCAAGAAAATATGTCCTAGGTAAATTTCTATTTTAGGGGAATGAGACAGACTCTGAATTTGTCACTTTTCAGTCCTGACAAAATCTTTTATAGAAACAAATGCTAAATGTTATGTGTCTTGGCTTTGGTTGATTGGTGTAACAATAATCTAAGGAAGATTTTCTGTCATAAGTGTAATGGTGGGACAAGTCTCTGAATAGTGAGGGAAGCAATTTATATAAAGTTAAACACGGAGATGAGGTGGGGAGGCCCGCTGTAATCAAAGAGTGCATTTCACGGCTATTCTTCCATTTACTTCATTCAGAAACTCTGAATGGGTAGTCAAACCCAAAATGATGATTTGAATATTTTACATACTGAGCATTTCAGAGCCTCAAACTATCCAATCTTATACTGTTATATGATAACTACTCCCATTACCCACTCCTCCCTGTCCAAGACTAAAGAAGAGGAAAATGGCTGTGACTTATTCTTAGAAGTGGGGGGATTAAATATACTTACAAGGCATTGCATGGTAGATGCTTGGCCAGTACTGTCCATTGTCTCTCTTCAGCCATACCCGGACCGTTCTAGAAAAGAAGGACACTGGCATTAAATCAGGATGGATTTTAGGACTGGTGAGAGCTTCCTGGTTCACCATCCTAGAGCCAAACCTCTTGAGTAATTTGAGGCAAATAGTACCAAGAGGTTTATGTGGATGCTATGTGTCATCATTCTTATTCTAAAGAGGTCTAAACCTTAAAAAAAAAAAAATTGACATTATATCTAAATGGAAGATTCTGCCTCTGTGGCCGCTGTCCAGAATACAGATTTATCTTCTGAGGCTGGCAATAGGCATAATGGAATCCACATGGTGAACAGTGATTCTCTATCATCCTACTGAAACAAGACAGAACATATGAAAGCCATGTGTGTGCAATATAAGGAGTCAGGAGCAGGTGGGGGTGAGAGATTTGGCAGAGAAGTTTGTTAACTATTGGGAAGTACATACTAATAGCACCGTGCCAAAGGGGACGGCTTTCTGGGTACAAAGAGACCAGGTTAGAGATCAGAGAAAGGAAGCTTCTTTTCAGCTCTGTGGCCTAGAGGCATCAGCTTCTGAGACCATACGATTACAGGATGACAAACAAATCTGAAGCTAGGAGAGACAGGCCTCAGAGGTCAACTATTCTAACCAATCCCCACATTTTATAGACAGGAAAAAGATGCCTCAGGAAATTATGTGACTTGTCTCACATAACCTGCCTCTGACACCCATTTGTGACTTTCACAGATGGGTATCAGAGGCAGGTTCTGAACCCAGTACCTCTAAGTACTATTTATTATAACTTACATTTATGCAGCACTTTAAGGTTTACAAAATGCTTTATATGCTTTATTATTAAAGTTTTTAAAAACTATATTAAAATTTTTTTTTTCAAAATTGAGATGACTATCATTACTGCTACTAGGCACAGTTTGTAAAAGTTCAAAACCCAGGCAGGACCTTTACTTCTTTTGGTAATCTAAAAGCTGAAATCACTGACCTGAGAGATCACACATTCAAACAAGAAGACTACTTTGTACAAATTCTCTTACTAAAAGGCCTTATCTTTTGCTAAGGATAGGTCTCTTCCAGATTCAACACTCTCCAATTCAGTAAGATTTTTTAATTGTAATTTTCTATAAAATGCTAAAGCATACCTTCACTATAATTTCTGATTTAAGCCTCTAAAAATCTCTAGATCAAATGTCTACAAAGATAGAATTAGTTATAATATTCTTTTTTTAATACTGCAAGTATATTAGACCAACACTTTAATAGCAATGAATTTAAAATTTAAGATAAAATTTATTTAATCTGCCTTCACTTTACTGGGGGTCAAGAAGGTTATAAAGAGGTTTTATTGTAAATGAAAAGATCTTTAAAAGGAAGTTGTGGTAAAGTCTTGAGTAATTAGAAAATCGATACCCAAATGCAAGAGAAGAGACAGGGAAATATAACTCGCTGGTTAGGGGTGGGAAGGGAAGAGGATAGGGGAAGCCTTAGACAGTAATGCTGAATATATTGTCAGACCTAGTCACTACATCCATTGTTTCTTCCAAACTGTTTTTCTTTGTCACAACAGAGCATGCAGTTGGAGGGTGGGAGAAGGGCACAGATAATGTACAGAAATAGCAGTGATGTGTAAACAAAAAACATCAATAATACTTTTTTTAAAAAAAAGGTGATGGTGAGCTTCAAATCTACACATAAACATTTTAGCTTGGCTAATAAGATTTGTTAAAGAAATCCAAGAGACATCCCTGGTAAATTTAAATGCCACTTAATCAGAATTAAGGGCGAGCTTTTCCCAGAAGAAATCTGTATTTGAAAAGCCTCCCCACCCCCACCTCCCCAAGCACTTCAATATTAAATTAATTCCTTCTTCACTGGGCTTTTTACAAAGAAACAAACAGTGTCACTGTGACTGATGACCAAATTTTAACCAGTAGAGGTCACTGCATTAAACATAAAACTAGGGAAGTCGAGAATCACAAACAATTCTAAAAATTGGAGATCTCAGAGGCTGACTCACCCCTATCTAAGTGAGTCTCTCTTCTCCATAGCCCAGCTAATCAATAGCCACTATCCCACTGCTGCCTGAAGAACTTTAGGCTGGTCACGTGCAATGCCTGCCAACGCTGTCCATTCTCCTTCTGGATCACTTTATCAGATGCTCCCACTCTTTGTTTCCTGTCCCCTCCCTCTATGGGTAGATCTGTTTGGGGATACTGTAAATTTATCCTATTATCCTGTGCAGTGGCACAAAATACACTCAAATCAATGTTTGGGAAAACAGACTTTCATTTTTCACTCTCCTCAGTTTCCCCCTTCCAATCCTTAGGGCAGGCCTAAAACTGTGCTGCCCTGGCTTATTATTAAGTATTACCACTACTTTTCATAATGGTAATTTCCAGAAAACTACATCCTCTTAATATCTAGTGAATTCAACTGAACATAAGTCAGTAAGAAAAAAAAGTGGAACGACCTTTTATTCAAGCCTTTTATTCTCTTAAAATTAAAATATTTTAAAACAAACTAATGATAAGAGGAGGGGAATCTTCCCTTACAGCATACACAGTGTAATTAACTGTCCTCTTCTGCAACTACCTGTGACTGTTAGGCAAGGGAATTAATTCTATGTTCACAACTTGATGCAGTCCTTTGCAAGAAAAACAAAAAACAAGACTGGAAAAGTGTCCTGAGTCTCAGTTTGTTTTAGTAAAACCACCACTGGACTGGGAGTTAGGAGACCTAAGCACTAGTCTTAACTCTGCCACTAACTAGTTATATGACCTTAGGCAAATCAATTAAATTCCCTGAGCCTCAGTTTCCTCAACTATAAAATGAGCAAGCTAAACAAAATTAACTCTAAGAACCCTTTCTAGATCTGATGACTGATTTAATATTAATTTAATATTCATATGAAATACATAAGCAAGCTTGTATTTTCCAGCCTATGATGTCTTACAGAGATTGAGACCAGAGCTGAGCTGGCAGTTCCAAGTGATGCCTTTAGCATGGGATGCTGTCCTCTAATGCTAACTCTGGCTCTTAACGGTAACTTTAACTACTGCCATCATGATTTCACAGAATCCTAAAATCTTGGAGGAGGAAGGGACCTCAACAATGATCTAACCCATCCCTCTCATTTTTTAGGAGAGTAAACAGGTCCCCAAAGAGGTGTGGTGACTCAAGGATAGCTCACGTTCTCTCTCTGTAATTCTGTCTCTCACTGTCTCTGTTTCTCTTTCCCCCAGGTTGCAATATATACTTGGCCTTTTGTTTTTATAGCACTGATATTTACCACTGTAACCCTCATTTTTCTTGACCTTTGAGTTGACATCCCCCCTCTGCTCCCTCTGCTTCAATGACAGTGCTTTCTCCTTGTTCTCCTGTCTGACCACTCCACCAAAGTATCCTCTGCTAAATCATCATCCATATCCTGCCCCCTTATCCTATTCCACACCCACTTCTGCTCTGTTTCTGCAAAAGTTTTCTTGAAGATTCCATCCATTTTTGTGGATTCAAGGACTATCTCTGTGCTGGCAATTCCCAAATCTCTATATCCACACCAAACCCATGTATCCAGACCTAACCTTGCTACTGAAATCTTGTCCCATATTCTCCACTGCCTCTTGGATATATTTTTCTGACTGTCCCATACATAGTTCAAACTCAACATGCCCAATAGAATTCATTAACTTTCATGTCTAAATCTAGAATCCTCAGATACTCCCCCATGAACATACTCCTCTCCTAAACTTCCCTTATTTTGATGGAAGGTGCCATCATCCTCTGAAGTCATCCAGATGTGTAAACTCACTGTCACCCTTTATTCTTCTTTCTCTGTCATACCCTATATTCAATCAGTTTCCAAGCCTTTGATTCTACCTCCACAATATCTGACATATATATATCCTTTCTCTCTACCCACACAGTTACCACCCTAGTTCCAGAGCCCATCCCCTCTCAGCTGGACTATACTGTAACAACAGTCATACAGCTGATCTCCCGGTTTACAGTTTCTCTCCTTCCCAATCTACTCTCCACAAAGCTACTAAAATAGGTTTTATGATATCATTCTCTTGCTCAAAACTCTTGAATGGCTTCCTCTTGCCTAAAGAATAAAATATAAACTCAATTTGGCAATAAAGGCCCTCCACACTCTGGCTCCTACCCATCTTTCATCAACTTTGTGTTCTAGCCAAATGGCAAATAGCTATTCCCCAAACTAGATTCTTCAACTCCTGTTCTCTGGGCATTAACATAAACCATTCCCTTTGTCTGGAATGCAACCTCTCTCCTCATTTCCAACTCTGAGAATCTTTATTTTCTATCAAAGGTTATCTCAGATACCACCTGCCTCATGAAATCTTCCTCTCATCTCCTAAGTTTTTCTTAGTGATCCCTCTAGCCTCAATCTTCCTTGCAATATACTTATTTATGTACAACAATGATGTGTCCTCCTAGTAGAATGTAAACTCCAACAGGGCAGAGATGGTTTTGTTTTTATTTCTGTATCTTGGATACCTAGTATAATGCAGCACATAATAGATGCTTGGTAACTGTTAACTTGAATACTGAGCCTGGTCAGATATGGCCAAGCACTACTGCCAGCACACAAATCCTTCTCTCCCAGCCTCTGCCAAAAAAATGAAATCCCTTATCCGAAAATCGGGCGTTTTCTTAGAACATTATCTGCCTCTCTCTTTTACCTCAGCATATTTTCCCCTATATATACTTGTGCACATCACCATTATAAGATTTTAACCTTCTTGAAGGCGAGCAATGGTTATTCCTCTCTGTATCCAGAGCAAAGGGCAGGTGCCCAGCAAATGATTTCTGAACTTAATCTATTCTCAACTGGCCTGGAAAGTTATCTGACAGAGTTAGCCTAGCCTGAAGCCTGGGACTTGGGATAAACCGATTCCCCATTCTACCCTATTGCCATGGTCCCAATTCAGGGCCACAAATAGCAAATGAGATACCTCTACAGACACCTCCACCCCCAAATAAACAAAACTGAAGCCACCATCCCCTGTA